GGTTTGGCTGTGTCTCCACTCAAATTTCACCTTGAATTGTAATCCCCATAATCCCCATGTATTGTGGGAGGGATCCAGTGGGAAGTGATTGGATCATGAAGGTGGTTTCCCTCATGCTGTTCTTGTGATCATGAGTGAGTCTCCTGAGATTGATGGTTTTATAAGCATCCGGCATTTCCTTTGCTTGCTCTCACTCCATTCTGCCACCCTGTGAAGAAGGTACCTGCTTTTCCTTGGCCTTCTGCTATGATTGTAAGTTTCCTGAGCACCCCCCTACAGCAATGTAGAACCCTGAATCAATTAAACCTCTTTCTTCATAAATTACCCAGTCTTGGGTTATTTCTTCATAGCAGCATGAGGACAGACTAATACAATGAGTGACTTAGTCACTCTGCAAAAGGCCCCACCTCTCAATACCACCACAATGGAGATTAAGTTTCAACATATGCACTTTGTAGAACTTTCAGACCACAGTGGAGACCATCTGTACATGGCGTGATCTGTACAGCATTATGTGTTTTGTCAACTGTGACTGCTTGGGGGTAAAGAATAAGGAGAAGAGACAAATTTCCATCATGGATGGAAAAAGTAGAAAAGTTTTCTGAGACAGTGACTCAGTGGGAAAGTTAGACCAATATTATCTGCAGTCTTTGGGAATGTAGGTCTTCACAGTGTGTCTCATGTTTGGTTAAAGCACTTCCAAAATATCAGACAGTTATGTCTGAATGGAGTCACACAAATTTATCAGAAAGCCAAATATAACCTTCTTTTTTTTAGTTTCTAAAATGTGTGGGTCCTATATATAACTTTCTGTTCTTCAGAGATGAGCCACATAGAAAGGGCAGGCACTGGTCTTACAGGGATCACCTTATAGGATCTAAACCAGTACATGCTTTACACTCTACTTACGATACAGCCTAAAATGTCTCTGCTAATGACTTGAGCATTGTATTTCTTGGATCTGTGATAACTTATTATTTTAACCTTTCAAAGCCAATAATTTTAGAGCATTCAACTCAAATGACTTTTATTGGCCTGAAAATGTTTTATTGCAGTTTGGCTGACATTTCTTCTAATAATGTCATTAGCACTCCTTAAAAATGAGTTCTATTGGGGCATATAGTACTACCTTTGTTTCGAGAAAATGTTATGATTTTGTGTATACATGAGGTGGGTCCCACAGCTACAAACATTAGCAGTATGTTTCTGATTCAATGGAAATATCTTTCTGATTCTACAGGCATGCTCTCATTTCCATTAAGCATAAGTCATTTGGTTGGCAAAAAGACCTGAATTTGGATGCAGTTTTTCAGAATTATGTTGAATTCTCAACATCTTTTAAGAAGGAGCACAGCTTCAGAGTCCGTAGGCTTAATTAAACTCTCTAGCACTTAGCCTGTTTATATTCCTTACCTACTTTGTTGGTTTAGCTCTGGTAATTGCTGTTATGCTGACACTGGTTTCCAGTAGGTCATTGAAATCAAATTAATGCAGGCATCTGAAAAATCAGACATCAATTGTGTTCATTCATTAAGATTTCCATATTTTAAAAGGTACAGAATAAGGAAAAGTGATTCGGATTAGCCTTGAAGAATCCTGGATGGATGGACGTAGACTACAAGCATTTTAGCGAGACAATAAAAATTATTTGTAGGAAAAATCCTAATTAAAGAACAAAAACCAAAAGCAAAATGAGACCACAATTCCTTCCTATACCAATCTTTTTCTGAAGACATAAAGATTCAAGGTCCAAACTCCATTTCCTAGGCCTTTGGAAATGCCTTTAGAATTTCCTCAGTTTTCTGGTCCAAGTGCAGTAGTTCTCAAAGTCTGGTCTCCCTCTTCAGGTCTAGGAACGTGTTAAAAATGTCAAGTCTTGAGCCTCACTCTAGACATCCAAAACTAGGAACTTGATGGACAGAGCCTGCAATCTGTGTTTTAATGAGTCCTCCAGGCACTCTGTTGTTTTGCTGTAAAGTTTGGGAACTTCTGGCCTAGGGCATTGTTCTCAAGCGTTTGTGTACACCACAGCTCCTAGAGGAGCTTCACTTAACCCGAGTCTTTCACTCAGCTCCTGAAATTTGGAGGCAGTAAATGCAGGAAGCTGTGTGAGAATCTGCAATATATACATACGAAGTAGGTGATCCTGGTGCAGGTGGTCGGTAGAATACAATTTGAAAAATCCTGCCTAGAAGTGGGATTTAAATGTTGACAAAATTAGCACTTCGCCCTGCAAAATCCTCCTCCATAACTGAGTAAAAACCTTTGAACTCTGACTTACAAATATCTATAACTTTCAGTTAGCCTGCAAAATGCCTGCTTCTGAAGAGGTGTGCAGGCTTCCCTCATCACTGCCATGGGGGGTTGAAGCCTCTGTGTGTTCCAGGTGTGAGGCTTTGCCTGTCTCTGCTATAGGTGTGCACCTGTGTCATGACAGAGCACATGGTCAAGGGATGCAACGTTATCCACAGCTCCACAGAAAGTACAGTATTGAGTACGCTCGGCCAAGACAAAACACAAGGGAAGATGTCGTTTTTATTCGCCCTGAGATGATAGCTGGAGGAAGACTGCTTTGGGCAAAGAGATCTTGATCCCTGCATGTCCTGCCAGGGGAATACCCTGTTCTAAGTAAGGTGACCTTTCAAGCAAGTTTTGAGAATTACTGATTCAGTATGCAAGGTATGCATAAATATATCTAACCGTGATTTGGAATCAGACCACTGAATTTCTTTTTTCCATTGAACCTGTTACAGATCAGTGGTGAAAAAAGAGATTTTTAATACAGAAAGGCGAAATTTGTGATGGCAAAAGGGTATTAATTGTGATTTTATTAAATCAGTCATATGTTTTCTTAAAGGTACTGGGACCAAATTAATGCATTAATAACATTACTTTGTTTTGGTTGTATTTGTTTTTATTGTTATCTGACATTTAAGGCAACTAATACTGTATTTCTACTTATGTTAATGATTAAAAATTAACTTTAAATAATTTTATTTCAATAAAATATGTGAATTAATTTAAAGGAAGATGCTGAGTAAATATGAGTGCAGATGGAAATTTTCTGAAGATGCCACATGAATAATCAAAGTGTGGGAAACTATTTTCATGAGTTCAGAATAAACCATTTTATCACTTTTCTAATGTTGAGCTTTTTATTTGTTTTCTGTTATAAATAATGCTTCAAAAAACCTCTTGTAGCTAAATATTTTTCGTATCCATAATGGTTCTCTTAGGAAAATTCACAGATTTGAGATTGTTGAATGCAAGGGCAATACTTACATTATTTTAAAGTTTAAAATCAGTGTCCATTAACCATTTCTCTAAGTTTGTATGTAGACATTTAGGAAGTCAGTACAGCAGTATTTATGACCTATGGGAATCCTTTCTTCCTTGTTATTCAAAGGGTTACTTAAGGCCATGGTCTCCAAATGTGTTCTGGGACCAAATGACAATTTCTTCCCAACCGGGGAAGCCTGTGGTGGGGAAAAGGCTTGGTGGAAGATCTGGTTTGTAGTTAATGTTAAGTAACCTTTCCACTTAATTAGCTTTGCGATCTCGTGCAAGACAAAACCTCTCTAAGCTATAATTTTCTCATCCATAAAATTATACTAAAAATAACACTCTGTTTATCTCACCAAGTTGTGAAGATTATAGAGAGTGATGTGAAAATGGCTTGTAAATGCTAAAGCATGATGTAAAAGGTTAGTTGTTGGTATTATAAAAGCCCAATATATGTTTTCCTCTTGTGAGATTCTTAGAGTACAATTCTCTGATTTCACAGATACATCATCTCAAGCAAGACAGATAATTTTTTTGTACCATATGGGGTTAGTGTCTAGAAAAAGTGAAGGGTATGAAAGAATGAAGAACGAAGTTCCAGTGAGAGTCTATTTCTTTATAGATTGCTCCTGCCTGTCCCCTCCTCAATGCTAGAACCTGGCATAGCGCTGTAGTCAATATTGGATTTTGTTTTTGTGCATGTGTGTTTTTTAGACAAGGTCTCATTCTGCTGCCCGGGTTGAAGTGCAGTGGTGCCATCTCAGCTCACTGCAGCTTTGACCTCCTGGGCTCAAGCAATCCTCCCTGCTCAGCTTCCTGAGTAGTTAGAACTACAGGCATGCACCACCACACCTGGCTAATTTTTGTATTTTTTTGTAGAGATAGTGTCTCACTATATTCCCCAGGCTGGTCTCAAACTCCTGTGCTCAAGCGATCCTCCCACCTCGGGCTCCCAAAGTGCTAGGATTACAGGGATGAGCCACCTCGCCCTGCCAACAATAACTCTGGACTTTTATTTGAGCTTTGCTGCTTATCATCAAATCTCAAGGAAAATATTAGTTACTCAGAAGTCATCTTACTTGTAAATCTAGAATTGGTCTGGTGGCTCAGGATTTCTGAGTCTGGGCTAGGACCAGAGCCAGCTACTCCTGGCACCTACATTGTTGGGAAACTAATGATCTTCACGGAGACTCTGTTCTCTTCCCATAATGTACATTATCCAAATGGTTTCTTGTGGGTGGATTCCAGTAAAAATGGTCTGATGAGCTGCCTACCAGAAAACTGTGATGTTGACAAACTCCAGAGAGTAGACCAAGATCTGAGGGCAGAGTGGTCAGAATGGCAGGGGCTGACACTGAGAGCACCTGGGCTCCAAAACCAACTGTGCCACTTCGCCATGTGGGGCCTCAGATTACTCATCAGTAAAAAAAGGGAATTAGACAAGAATCTGGTCACTAGCTGGTCTTCTAGGTCTCTCCCCCACAGTTAAGATAGCATAATTCTGCAGGTCAGTTTATGACCGGCAAGGGCATTCTTTCCTGAGGGTTTGAATGGCAGAGCAAGTGGGAATTGGGGGAATGTCCTTCCCAACCTCCCACCGTGGGCAGGAAAGGAAGTGCTGTCCAGGAGGGCCTTAGCTGGACCATAGGGAGGAGTAAGGATTCCACTCTGTGACATCACAATATCCAGCCAGGTTTATCCTTGGCAACCAGGAAGGAGAAATAGCAGGAGGTGCAGTTACTATTAATAGTCGAGGTGGGACGCTACTGGAGGGAGCTATAAGGGATCAGCCAGACATGCCGCCAGTTCAGGTACGTGGCATTGCTAAGCCCAGAGCAGGTCTTGCCAGTGCCTAAAGGAAAAAGAGGAGAGACCTCAAGGTGAGTGTGTCACCAAGCTTAGGAAGAACAGTATAAGCACAGACAGCATGTGTCCCAGCTGCATGAGGGTAGCGTTATATTCCACACAAGCAGAAGCAGAGCTGGGCACATCTTGCCAACAGCCAAGCTGCTTGTCATGAAGCTGGATCATGAGGACATTTCTGAGGCTGTAGTCCATATGTGCTGCTGGTGACATCCTTCTATTCAGAGGAGTTTTCTTCCAATAGCTTCTCCGCGGAATGACAGGGAAAAGTAAACAAAGGTAAATTAACTGAAGGAAGTATTTTAATAGAAGCCAGTACAAAAACAAACAAAAGTAATAAAGGGCGAAAAGTTGTATTATGGGTTAGCAACCAGGATTGATTCTAAGGTCAAGTTTTGAAAGTTCAGGTCTCGAAAGGCAGAAGGCCACTCCTATAAATAATAAAAGAGAAGGACCTTTTGGTTGAGAAGTAAGTAAAACAGTTCTGCTGGAACCATATACCCCATTCTGCCCCCAGCAGCTCCTGCCAGTGAAATCATTGCTGGGGATGCGGACAGTTCTGTTTTCTTTACCTTGCCTTGGGGTTTTGGCTTCTACAATACTTGTTTCTTCCTGGCGTCTTGGGGCCCTGAGAGGCTCTGAGTGACGGCAACGAACTGTTCTGTTTACCAGTGGGGCGGAGCACGGGGTCAGCGCCAGGCCCTGACTCATCCCCATGTGGACTCCCTTGGGTCTTAGTACACTGCCACCCCAGAGTCAGAGCACAGGACAGCTCAGGCAGGCACACTGAGCTCTGCCTGCAAGATCAGAGTTGATCACCAGTCCATGTTCTGACAGGTAGGTCAGTTACCCACGTGGGACCCCAACAACCATCAACAAGAGGAGGAGATGGAATCTCTATCCACAGGACACAATTCTAATTCTCCTTGGCTCCAACACATCACAAATAAATATGTCACAGCAGTGAGGCCAATACTCTCACACTCTGTGAAAGTAGTAATAGCCTTCAAAGCATGTAAAACTGGGAGACCCACATAAAAACAAAATACACTTGCACATTAACTTTATAGCACACATTCAAATTCTGTCTACAGGAGTCTGCGATTTTCACAACTGGGTTATGATCTCATCATAATCACTTAAGACCTTGAACATTAAAATCTCATTGGTCCAGTTTTTAGGTTTCATTCAGTGATAGCCATTGAAAACTCAGTTTAAGCTGAACCTCAAATAATACGCACAAAACACAGAATGTTTTAACTCATCTCCATTTGCATTTATTGACTGTAATGTTCCCTGGCCCTTGTGTTAGTCACATGCTGCTGCATCTTTCACGTACTGGAGAATTTTAGAGCTGGATGGGAACTAGAAGATCATCCATTCCACAGCTTCATTTCCAGAAGGAGAAACCACACAGAGAAGTTAAGTGTCTTGGCTAAGGTTGTTAGCCGGGGACTAAATTTAAGCCCCCTAACTCTTAGCCTGGTGTCCTGTTCAATACACTCTGCCCCACAATGAATGAATGTATTGGTTCATATTTGAACTAACTCTTTGATTTTCTAAGAATATTCTAAAAGGAGGAAATATTTTATCACCTTGGTGTGGTTATTAATAAAAGCAGATATTCTCTTATTTTGTATGTAGCTGCATACAAAATAAGCTTTGGTGAAGGACAAGTGAAAGTACTGAAGACCCCACCCAAAAGACTGAGACAGCAGTGAAAATAAATCCAGGGAAATTGACCAGCTGCTGTACATTGAGGGCTGATTATAAGTAATCATTTTTTCTTAAAAAAATTTTCATACAATCTATCAGAGTTTTACTTTATAAAAAATATACAGTCTTCCTGTGGCCTTGCCTTTTCCAGTTTGGGTAGATAATAACTTGTTTTTGAATGTGTGTGTACACCCTTGAATGTACAGATGAGTAAACACTTTATCTGGCAGGTGTGGGGCTGGCTACTACACCCATCCTTAGTAACAAACCTACCCTTATTACTTAATACATCTTCTATATGAGCCTTTTCTGACTTATCCCATGAATAAGGGATAATATTCTATTTGGAATTAACATGATAGTTAAGAAGCCTCCTTAGACTTGTCCAGGATTTGTTATATGTGAAGCTATATTATATTACGTCTTGCATCCCTAGTTAATGTGCAAGTTGAGTCCAGGCAGACCCTGGGTGCAGGTACTCAGAGTTTTTCCAATTAAATTTATTGCAAATGTATTAATATCAGCCCAAAGATCCAAATTATAAAAGAAAATGAAGTGAAGAATTTTAAAACTATAAATAGAGACCTAATTTTTATAGTCATCAACTCCGTCATTACCCTTAGAAAGGTCTGATAAGTATTTTCTAGGCCATTAGATTGGTTTTTTGCCAACTGAAATGTGTGCTTCCTGTAAGGATTTTCCATGTGTTTCTGATTTTATATGCAGATTGTCTTTACTAAAAGAGAATTATGAAAAAATTGCCCACAGGAAAGAGCATAAGAAAGAGCATTCCATCACGGCATAGGCTTTACACAGTGCTGTTGTAATACCTTTCAGCTTCCATATTAATTTTAAAAGTTGTGTAATATATTGAGTAATTTTGCACACATTGCAGTGTATTACTGCAGGAGAAAGCTAATTGTGAAAAACAGAGGGATAAAAGGAGTTTTAGTTTCAGAATTCTTCACTGTGGTTTTGAAGTTTCAAATCTCTCTGGTAAAATGAAACCCAGGTATGCCAAGCAAACTTCTGAAATATTTTCTCTTGAATTATCAGAGAAAATGTAGCCTTGACGAATCTTATTTAAGAGGCTTGGAAGGAAACAAAGCAAAAGGAAGCTACCTCTTCGCAGATCCTGAGACAAAAGTCTCCTTGCTGTCGTCCCCTGAGGCACCTTGGCAGGCGGCCACGCTGGATCTCTGACACGCGCAGGACACTGCCTGTCATTCCAGCCCAGCCCCATGTCCACCCTCCCAAGAATTGTGCAACAGGGCCTTTGTAACCTGAGGCCCATGAAGTCTTTGAAGGAATGTGACACAGAGCCAAGGGGCGTTGGTGCCACCAGGGCTGAGAAGGAGCTCTCCTGCTGTTTACGCTGCTATTCTGTGGGAACCTCAGAAGGGGGAAGGTATGCTCTAAAATGCATGGGGAGTCAAGTCCTTGGCACAGCTGTAAAGCAAGTACTCTAGTGTCTTTTCCCTCATCTTTGCTGACCTCCGGAGGTATGCTTCATACTGCTCTAGAGAGTAGAACCCGCTGTGCTCTAATTTTGATTGTATTTGTATAAATTTATGGGATACAGGTGCAATTTTTAAAGATGCATAGATTGTGTGGTGGTCAAGGTTGAGCTTTTAGGATACCCATCACCGGATCCACTCTTCCTCCTTTCAAGCCACTCCTCCTCCTATTCTTAACTGTGTCTCCTGCTGAAAGCTACAAGTTATGGTCCCATTATTCCAATGCCCTGTAAGCATCTGGGGAGCGGGATCCATATTAAAGAATGATATAGACGGTGGAGTGCCAGGCACTGGTGTCAGGACAGCTCCGGAAATCTTTGGGATTCATCAATCTACAAAATGAGCTTCCTACCTCCTCTCCTCACTTCTCCCATAGACATCTTCCTCCAATATGACAACTACACAATCTGGCCACTGTAATACTTGGGGTTTTCCCATCTCATCTGCCTGGGGAAAATGTGACAAGCTGAGTCGTGCATACTCTCCTTTTAAGTTGCCCAAACATCATGATGGCCACACAAATGGAGCTCTAACCAACAGGAATTGAAAGATTCACCTCAGCCTTGCTATTTGAGTGCTGTGAAGTGCTATGGCATGTAATTCACTATGAATGACAAGGTTCATATTTTATATTACCAGTATTGTTGATCACAAAAGGTGGTCTCAGAAAAACAGACGTTTTAGCCAGTGGAGAAGACAACTTACTTGGCAACTAGAAGACCAATATTCTCGTCCTTTAAAGTATATTTAGAATGCAAAATCATTATTATTACAAGAGAAGAAAAGCCTTTTTTTTTTCTTTTTGTTTTTGAGACGGAGTCTTGCTCTGTCGCCCAGGCTGGAGTGCAGTGGTGCCATCTTGGCTCATTGCAACCTCTACCTCCTGAGTTCAAGTGATTCTCCTGCCTCAGCCTCCTGAGTAGCTAGGTGCCAGCACACCTAGCTAATTTTTGTAGAGACGGGGTTTTACCATGTTAGTCAGGCTGGTCTCGAACTCTTGACCTTGTGATTCACCCACCTCGGCTTCCCAAAGTGCTGGGATTAAGGCGTGAGCTACTGTGCCTGGCCTGGGAAGCCTTTTTTAATGTTAGAACAGGTTCCTCTACATGATAGGAACGAATGCTATCTCTCTCCCCTCATCAACCTCTCATGGTTTGAGAGGAGATACCTCTCATACCATGTCCTTTCAAGGAGGTTGTTTTCCACTCTCCTTTCTACACCAAATAAATTCAATGAGTTTCAATCCAGTTCGTATTGTCGAAAACTTAATATGCACTTGGGACTTTACTAGGCACGGTGACAACTGCAAAATAAAATGTTTGACGTAAGTTGGGCTCTTTAAGAGTTAAGAATTTAGTTAAGGAGAAAAGATGCACACCTGCAAAGAGTTCAAAAGCAAAGAATAAACTACATAACTATGTGAAAAATGTGCGCGCTGTGAACTTCAAAGTACCCCAGGGGCTCCAAGCGAAGAAGCAGTGTTGTCCGCGGTGTTCAGGTTGCTCATGAGGGCAGGTCAGCGCTGGGACTTGGGAGGGATCTTGAAAGGAAGAGAAACAGAATATGACTGCTTGACACAAACTTAGGGAGAAAAACAATTTCCTAGTGAAAATTTTGGCCCCGGCATAACCACGCTTCTCCCACTGATCAGCACTCATGTCCACTCTCCCTGTGCTTTGTCAATTCGTTCTTGGTTTGCAAGGCAAACAATTCACATTACTTCATTGGGATATGAAAAAGAGGAGTCATGGAAACATAAGGACACCAGGAAGGATAAAACAAAC